ACTTAATAAAAATTACACCGGTGTCGTTTGAACCCTCCTCTATATATATATAATATATATATATATATAATTAGAGATTAATTAGAATTAATGTTCTGCAATATTTATTTCTTATAATTAACCCTCACATTTTTTAATTCATATGTAAAATATATATACTCAGACTTAAAAAAAAATATTTTAGGTTTCATATCCGACTACAGTTACAACGGATGACTCTGTAACTCCGCCCGCCAAAGTCAATTTTCATGACTTATGTGGCACGTCACACGCGAAACGCCATATTGTTGACATTCACAATGCATTTAGAAGTCATATCTTTACAAATTAGTGGACAACGATTTTGACGTACATGATAATAATATGAACTTGATATTAATGAAACGGTCATTAGATATGGATCATGGTAGACCACTTGAAGCACTAGTCCACCTTAGAATCCGTCTTCTATACATATGAAGTTTTGGTTAAGTAGTTCTTCATTCAGACCACAGAAAACACTCGTTCGTTGACTTGACTCGATCGTCCAAGATGAGCAAACTGGCCTTCATCACCGGCATGCTAGCCCTCCTCCTCCTCCAAGCGCCCTGCTCCACGGCGGAGATACAAACCCTCACCATAACCTCCGACACCCGACCGATGATCCTGATAGAGAAATTCGGGTTCACCGGAAGAGGCCACGTGTCGATCTCCGTGTCGTCGGTGTCCGTGGTGGCGGGAACAGGCTCCCAACCGGAACCCTCCCGTCTGGGATTCTTCCTCCTGAGCGAGGAGTCCCTGCTCCAAGTCCTGATCGAGATGCAGCAAAACCCTAACTTCTGCGTCCTTGATTCCCACTACACCAACCACCTCTTCACCTTCCGCTGCCTATCTCCTCCTCCCGCTTCCTCCTTCAACCATACTTACCCCCTTATTTTACCCGCTCGATATTCCTTATTCTTCGCTAACTGCAACCCCGAGAGTTCCGTCTCCATGAAACTCCACACCGAGTTTTTCACCCTCAACCGCGACGGTTCCCGCAACTACCTCCCCTCCGGCCACGCCCTTCTCCCTTCTCTCTTCTTCCTTTTCTCCATCCTTTACTTCTCCTTCCTCGCCTTCTGGCTCTATCTCTGCCACGTCAGCAATCACTCCCTTCTTCACCGCATCCACTTCCTCATGCCCTCGCTCCTCCTCGCCAAGGCTCTCAGCCTTCTCTTTGCCGCCGCGGTCAAGCACCACGCCAACCTCACCGGCATTTCTCACGCTTGGGATGACGTCACGTTTCTCGTCTTTGACTTCGTTAGTGTCGTTTTGCTCTTCACCGTCGTCGTTTTGGTGGGGACACGCTGGACCTTCCTCCACCCCTTGAGGCAAAGAGGGAAGACGGTGCTCTTCTTCGTGGTCCTCCCGCTTCAGATCCTCGCGCATGTCGCTTTCGTTGTTGTTCACAACACTGGTCCCTATATACAGGATTGGGTTACATGGAACCAGATTCTCTTGCTCCTAGATTTCATATCATGTTGTGCCGTTGTTTTCCTCTTTCTTTGGGCTATACGATTGCTCCGGAGAATTACCTCCAAGGCCCAAAGCGAGCCTGCTATGAACTTGGATAGGTTTCGCCTTATCAAACGATTCTACCTCGTTGTCCTAGGCTACTTTTTGATGACGCGCTTTGGGGTATTTGTTCTCAGGACCATAATTGCCTATGAGTACGAGTGGGTGAGTAATCTCGCCGAGGAAACTGTTACTCTTGTGTTTTGCATTGTCATGTTCTACATGTTTAGGCTTGTGGAGAAAGATGAATACTCTGTCCTCGCCGAGATCGTTGTCAACGAATAACAATGTTGAAAACTTTGAAACTACTACTAATGTCTTTAGTACTACGTACATTTTATTTCCGCTTCACACAACACTGTTGTTACACGTTAGATACTGGAATTGCCTGCATATTTACCCTTTCTTTCGCAGCGCTTGTAATATTGTAATATACTGTGTTACTATAGACTTTTCCACTTCTTTCGCAGCCTATTACTTGTACTTCTACTTCTACATGTATTAATTATAGTCTCCTCCCCGTGTTACATCCAAGTTGCTTGTATTTTTGTTTCTAATTAGCAAATGAATTTGATAAGTACAGCATAATCACATTTTTTAGTACAAAAATTGCTTCAAAAACCCTCTCATGACACGTTCAAGGTTCAATTAATTAGACTACTGAACTTGTTTATTACAAAATTTAATTATTATTACTATTAATTATTTTGGTGTTATTAATATTAATTATTATTGATTATTGAATTGGGTCTCTTTTGACTAAAGTCGTGCGTTATATGCAGTAAAAGCATATATCTTATTTATTAATCCAGATAGAAAACTAATGATAAGGAAAAAAAGAGTATTGCTATTTGATAACTTTTTTTTTTTTTTACAAAAACAGTACGAATCTTATTTGTTTATTTTTATTGGACAATTATGTAATTTTAAAAATAAATAAATTAGAAAAATTCACATAAATCGTCCTATATATGTTCTTCCTACTTAACATTTGTCTATTAAAATTCGTACTCGTATCAAGCATCATTCCTCTTCCCCACCGTCGAAAAAACATGGGAGGATTATGCATTACTTTGTTTTTAGCCTTTCCTTTTCATTTTAAAATTAACGATTTTTACAAATTTTAAGTCGTATTATTTTTTTGACATGTACTCATAATTTAAAATAACTAGATTTGGTATTTACAAATAACAATGTTGAAGTTCATGAACTTCGAAACAATTTCGCTGCAGATACAGTTTGTTCATTTCACCCTAAATATCAAGTTACATCACTCCACCGCTACTATATACTAGAAGCATGTTTGGATATGGGTTTAAAAAAACGTAATCATAATTTTTTATTTTTCAAAGTAAAATTTGAGAAATAAGAAAGGTCTTGCTTTAAATTAAACAAACGTTTAAAGATTTTTAAAGTCAAATCAAACACACACAAATAGTTAGTTCTACATTTTGTTTCGCCTTCACACTCTACTGTTAGACGTCTGCATGTTTAGCCTTTCGTTTGCAACGCTTGCAACAGTCTGGAATAGAAAATGTTTGATCATGTTATTATTATTTTTTTTCTTTGACCAGGGACGCATATCTAGCTAGGTTGTGAGGTTTAGGATCAATATAAAATAATATAATGGTTCTATAATTTCAAATGTAATAAAAAAAAACTCAATTTATGTAATAATATTGACTTCGTAAATTTAGAATAATGTGATTTCGAGATGTTATTTTACATTCCAAATATATATTTATGAGGTTTAGGCTTAATATAAAATACATTTATAATTTGAAATGTAATAAAAAGTTAATTTTAATAATATGAGTATTGATTTCGTAAATTTATATATATTTTAGTAAAGAACTTGTAATTTATAATTTTTTGGATCTCTCATTTGAGGAATAATATAATGGATTTTTGGCTTCCTTCCTATGACGTGAATTGATCTAAAATTGTGTAAGTCTATCATATCTCACTTAATCAAGTGGAGAGAAGTCAGATTAGTATAGAGAGTAACTCATTTTCAGAGAAAATAATAGTACAATACAAATAAAATAGAAGAGAGAAAGTTTTGTTATTCAAATCACATATCCATCAAACAATGTTTGTTGAATTGTAATTGGAGATTCGTTCACTGTCAAATAAGGTTGATTTTTGGACAATAAGTTCATACGACGTGACGTTTCATATTCAATGATCAGATAATCGAAAAGAAGTTTAGAGTGGGAGAAAAATGTCTCGTAGTAACAACTCTATTTTAGAGTTTTTCATCTTCTTATTTCTCAATTGTAAATAATTGTTGTTCTTACTAGGAATTTGTCGTAGAGATGATCTTCCAAGTAAGATTAGTGAGCCTCCTTCGCTGGTACGCTTGATGCTCCAAGATGGGGGTGGTACCTGCAAAAGAGATTCTGATGCCAAAATTAGGGTTTGTATGAGTATGAATCTCGTATAAGTAATGCACGTACCTTAGTGTAAATTAGGGTTTCGTTGGGCCTTAGGCCCGAGATCAGTTATGATCTGTTCAAGTGACGAGCTGACGTCACGTAGCGCGTATCCGAGGTCGCCATGCGCTGTGATGCCAAGCTGGGAGCTCGGCTTTGCAGTACGGATAGTACACTAGCCCCCCGAGCTCCGAAGACCGTGGGTCGAGGAGTTAAGACCGAGCTCGTCAAGTGGCCGTGACCCTTCGCGTACGCCTGCCTGTTGAGATGCCATGTGTCATAATTGGTCATTTCCCGAGAACGTGCAAGTGGCACGTTAATGGGAGTGACGGTTATGTAATGATGATTTGCCTTTGTCATAATGATTTTCAATTAATGTGTCATCAGATGTGTCCCTCGGTTGACACATGTTGTGACCGTTTTGAATTTGGGAGAAACCCTTTTCTCTCCCTCGCGCCTCTTCCCTTTTTACTTTACTCATTTTTCGCTCTTTCAACTTCTTGCGCACGCTGTTTCTCTCGTTTTTGCTTATCCTCCGTCTCCATTTTCTCCGTTTCCACCGTCGTTTCCGGTAACCCAGTCATTGTTAGGGTCGTTTTCTGAGGAAGAGTACCAAGTACTTCCTTTCTACAGTTTTCTTTTTTCCTTCTTTCCCAATCTTCTTTGAGTCTTTCTTGTTTTCTCCATGGCTGGAGGGAGTGGTGCTGGTTCCTCCGCGCTTGCCAAGGGTAAAGGCAAGGCGCGGGGCAAGGCGACAGCTACCGGAACGGCCGCCGCCGGGGCTGCCGTCGGGAAAAAGAAGGAGGTGGCGCCGCCAGCGGACCTCGTTCAAGGTATTCCTGGGTACAACTGGGTTCGGTGCGAGATGGCAGAGGCCCAGAGCGTGTTCCGGTCTTTTCTTGAAGTTAATGCGATCTTGAGATCGTATAGGGTTTGTGACCCTTCCATCTCCCGGATGATTCGACTTGAACCTTGTCAGGCCGGTGAGGGCGTGTATATGGGGAAGTCTACTGACCCTCCCCATTTCTATGTTTACCAGTGCTTCTTCAAGGATTTGGGCGTTTGCCTTCCCTTCACACAATTCGAGTGTGACTTCTTGAATTTTGTCAACTCGGCTCCTTGCTAGTTGCACCCTAACAATTGGGGTTTTTTGAGGGCTTTTCAAGTCCAGTGTTTGGCCCTAGGAATAGAGGTGTCTCTTCCTGTCTTTCTTCATTTCTACCAATTGAAAATAGGCGTTCTGCCTTATGGCGTGCTGTCTCTGAGTGGGAGTAGGGATGAGGGTTTGTTTACTCTTTACTCCCAGTCATACAAAAATTATAGACAAGAGTTCTTCCGGGTTGCCCTCGTGGATGTCGACCCCCTGGAGGATGGGGCGTTCTACTTCGACGGGTTGCCGAAGTTCCCTTTCTATTGGTGCCCCAAACTGTCTAGGTTTCACGTGGTGGGCCAATTGAAATTGACGGCTTCGGAGGCGGCCGCCATTGAGAACCTTACTGCGCTTCCTCGCCCGCTGGATTGCAAGTTCGTCCTGTAGCTTGCGAATTTGGCGTACAAGGAGAGGGGCCTAGAGAGTGAGTATCTCGTCCTCTTTAGACTGTTAGGGTTTGTGAAACCTTCTTTTTCTGATGTGTTTTATTTTCTGTTTGCAGGCATCATGGGGAAGAACAAGTGGCAAGATCTGAAGCATCGCTACAATGTTGCTGAAATTGAGGTCCCCGAGCCTCAAGAGGAGGAGATTTTCCCCCTAAAGGTCAACCGAAAAAGGAAGAGGGGCGAGAAAGAGGTCGGGGGGACCTCTGCCCCTCGTGGAACGGAGGAGGTGACCTCTAAGGCCGCTGATGCTGATGCAGTCGACCTCACTGGGAGCCCTCCGCTTGGGGAGGCTCCCCAAATGGCCGCTGCGGCGACTGTTGAGCAAGTTGCTCCTTCTGTCGAGGTAAGTGTCTCGTTTTCTTTAACTTTTCTTCTATGTCGGTTTTGCTTTGTTTATTGATGCGTTGTTGCTCTTTGCAGGCAGGGATAACTGCCAAGGTGGAGGCCCCAGTTGCTAAGCAGGTCGCCCAGGCCACCTTGGTGAGTACCTCGTTTTTCATTTTTTCCTTTGTCTTGTATATTGTTCTTTTCTTTTTTTGACATGGCACTGGTTTTTGCAGGCAGGGGACGTTGCCGAGGTCCAGGTGCCTCCGAGGTCGGAGGTGCCAGGCGTGGATCCTCCTATTGCTGAGCGGGGGACGCTAGTTTCTGCCTCTGTTGAGGCTCGCGGCAAGGGGCCGAGTCTCGAGGTCCCCATAGCTATGCCTGTAACCTCGACGGTGCCGCCAGGTTCGTCGTAGGGGGCTTCCCGGAGCCAATACATAGCTCACCGCTTCGGGAAGGGCCTCACCCAGGTGCAATTGGACAACGTAAGTGTCTCGGCTGACATGAACTCGCTGTGGAGCGCTGGGGTGACTGCCGAGAAGTTCTTCCCTCAAGGCTCGTTGAGCTCGGAGGATCAGGGGATGATCGAAGAGGTCGGACCCGTGGAAGGCTTTGACGCCGCTCAGGTCATTCTGCAGAGAGCCCTGAAGGACGAAAACAAGGTCCTGAAGGAGGAGAACAAGGTTCTTAGTGCCGCCCTCGGTGAAGCGAAGTTGCAGGGTGCCGAGCTTCGACCTGCGAGGGGAGACTTGGCGAGGGTCCAGAAGTCGCTGGAGATTGCCCTGCGCTCTAATGAGAGTTACGCTTCCCAGGTGAACGAGCTGCAGGGGCTCGCTGCCGCATCCCGAGGTCGAGTGCGTTTCTTGGAAAACGAGGTGACGTCTTCCCGTGGTCGAGGTCGCTCCTTGGAGGATGAGGTGACCTCCCTGAAGAACGAGCTGGTGGCGGCGGCTGAGAAGCGCCTCTGTGACGAGGTCGTCCTTGGCGGCAAAGAGGAGGAGGTTGCCGCTTTGAGGGTGGAGCTGGCGAAGCAGGAGGCGGAGAGGGCGATGTTGGAGAAGAAGCTTGAGGAAACCGAACGATCTATTATAGTTGAGCATAAAAGAGGTTTCCTCAAGGCATCTCGCCAGGCCAGGCTCCTTGCGCCGGGATTCGACTTCTCTGCCATGCACGTGGAGA